TAATCATTACATGTATGTATGCTTACTATATGTGTATATAGATACGCTGTTTACTGAATATATGGGGCGTCATGCTATTTATCCGACTTAGTTGGGTTGTGGGTCAGGCTGGTATAGGGTTTTCCTCTGTGATCATTATACTATCCACTGTTGTAACTGTTGTCACCACGTTATCCATGTCAGCCATTTGTACCAATGGTGAGGTGAAAGGAGGAGGAGCTTATTATTTAATCTCTCGTAGTTTGGGACCTGAATTTGGTAAAGTTACATACATTTATCTGTTATTGTTACAACTTACATGCGTATTTATTTTATAGGAGGAGCTATTGGTATTATATTTTCACTGGCTAATGCAGTAGCTGTTGGACTTTATGTTGTTGGTTTTGCAGAAACATTGACTGAACTATTAGTGGTATATGAATTGCAATACTTAGAAATAATTACATGTATATTCCTTAATATAATCAATAGAGACACAATGTTCCTATACCAGGACTCTCAGAAATAAACCACATACGTATATTTGGGTTTTTTACTGCTATACTATTGTTGGGTATAGCATTGATTGGATTAGATTGGGAATCAAAGGTACAATGTACATATTATATAAATGTATTTAATAACCTATTATGTTCATTATAGATTCAATTAGTTTTGTTAGTTGTGTTGGTTGTGGCTCTTATTGATGCTGTGATTGGTTCATTCATACCAAGAAGTTGTGATCATACTATAACATTACAAGGATTTACTCATTATCGATGTAAGCCTATGCAATGTACATGTAGATATATGTATATACACATGTACATTGTATTTGTACATGTGTCATTAAAATTTTGTGGACATTATTTTGCTAATTTAAAAAATATATATATTTGTAGCTTAATTACTTTGTTGAATTTTTGGTTTTGACAACTATTGTACTGGAGTTATGGAATTTTCCTTATTTATTACAATTTTCCTTTTTCCATAAATTACAAAAATATATCCTTCCACTATTTCTTTTTATATTAATTCTATTTTCTTGTAGGGGGTACATTTGTTGACAACTTTTCTCCCGACTATCACGACAACCAGAATTTCTTTAGCGTATTTTCTGTATTCTTCCCAGCAGCTACCGGTATACTTGCTGGAGCTAATATATCAGGAAACCTAAAGGTCTTTGATGATAATAATTATGTTAATATGATATACAGTAAATGATAAGATGTTTCTTATTAATTAAAAATCAATTAAATTTACTAATTTTT